CCCCCTCTCTCCTCCATCTCAGGTCTTTTACCCCTACACCCCGAGTCCTCTTCCTTCTCTGCCCTCCCCAACCCTTCTCCCTGGTCTACTTTTGTTCTGAGGCCACCTCAGGACTGGGGATGGCGACAGAGCTGGGAAGGGTGGGTCTTGCCAGGCTGAGCCAAAGGACTGTCGCTTTCTTGGTCCTGGGGATGGGATGGGGGAGGTAGAAGGTGACAGGAGGGGAGGCAAGTACCCACCTGGGGGGAGGCACAACATCCCAGGATGTGAGGACCCCACCTTAGTGGGTGTGCAGAGAACAGCAGGCAGCAGTTCGGGGCTGGGAGGGTGGCTTCAACTTTAGGGCTCAGGAGAAGTTCGGAGAAGAGGAAGTGACAGACAGAGAAGGAAAGAGACAGACACACACAGAGCCCTCAGGTGATGGGAGATGCTGAGCACTCGTGCACCTCTCCTTTGCAAACCCCTTCGCCTCTTTAAGCCTCAGTCTCTTCGTCTCCAGAGAAAGAGTTTTGGGTGATGTAAAGGTTCCTCTAGCTTCCCACAAGCGCAGGGACCAGGAGTCACCTCGGAACACTTGTGTTTCTCTTTGGAGCTGTTTGCATGAGTTTTGTCCTGGGTGATGTGTTTGGGCAGTTGTGCAGGGTTATTCTCTCCTTCAGCAAGGTGTTTATTGAATTTTGCCAGGTACTGTGTTAAATGTCTTGTTCACACATTCATTCATTCATGTGCTAAGTGTCTCATTCATTCATTCATGTGCTAAATGTCTAATCATTCATGTGCTAAGTGCCTCATTCATTCATTCATGTGCTAAATGCCTCATCCATTCATTCTTGTGCTAAATGTCTCATTCATTCATTCATTCATGTGCTAAATGTCTAATCATTCATGTGCTAAATGCCTCATCCATTCATTCATGTGCTAAATGTCTCATTCATTCATTCATGTGCTAAATGCCTTATTCATTCATTCATGTGCTAAATGCCTCATCCATTCACTCTTGTGCTAAATATCTCATTCACTCATTTGCTAAATGTCTAATCATTCATGTGCTAAATGCCTCATTCATTCATTCTTGTGCTAACTGTCTCATTCATTCATTCTTGTGCTAAGTGTCTCATTCAATAACTCATGTGCTAAATGTCTTATTTGTTCATTTGTTTCTGTGCCTGGCATTTGGCTGTGTGTGTGTGTCATGGGTGTCTCTGGTGATTGGGGGGGAGGTGGTACTCTTAAGTCTGCATGTTGTGTGGGGGACGGATGTGTAGGCATGTGTGTAGGGGGATGTTTGGGAGTGACTGACACAGGTGAGTGTGCACGTGGGTAGGTGTGTATGGCTGTGTGTGTGTGTGTGTGTGTGTGTGTGGTAAATTCACATGGTGTGTGGGGTGTGACTGAAGTCGTTTAGACACTCAGATGTGCACGTTTGACAAAATGAAACAAAATCGAAGGGAAAAGATTGTGTACGTGTGCCTGTGTGTACAAGTGTGTGTACAGAGCCGTGTACTGTTTCCATGGGAGGTGTCCTGGGGTGAGAAGCCACTTCTCTGTCTGTCTTTCTTTTCTCCTCTCTGTCTCTGTCTCCCCCTCTTTCTCTCCTGTGTCCTGTCTCTCTCTTTCTCTGACTCCCCATCTCTTTCTCTCCCGTATCTCTCTGTCTATCCCTCTGTCTCTCTTTGCCTCATTCTCCTGTATCTCCTCTGTCTCTGTCCCTCTCTAATCTTCCCTCTGTCTCACTGCAGCTCCCTCCCTATCTCCTATGTGTCTTTCTCTCTCTGCGTCTCTTCCCACATCTTTCTCCAGCTCTGTCTCCCCCTCTCCTCTCTCCGAGTCTCCATCCATGCCTCCCTCCTCTCCCCTCCCCTCCTCGCTCTGTGAGATCCCTGAGTTTACACGTCCACAGCCAGACAGTCCCTGATCCCCCACCCCGACAGTCAGAGCTGAGACCTCGGTCGGTCTCCCCCTCAGGCCCTCCTGGCCACACAGCCGGAATCTCTGACAGGACATATTTCACAGTCCAGGGGCAGAAGGGAAGGTTGTGGGATGAGACCTTCAGTCTCCACCCCCCCGCCCCCACCAGTTCCATGGGACATTGGGGGCATAAGGGGGTGGGGGCTCGGACACTTCATGGGCAAGAGAAGGATGGGTTCCCGGGGGAGGGCCCCCATCTCCAGGGCCCCAGGGTCAGGAGGTGCCTCAGTGGCTGCGGTGACCCCTCTCTGGGCTCTCTCCCTCTCCCCTCCCTCAGTACAATGAGCTGCCCCACTACCCTGGCATCGTGGATGGCCCCGCATCCCTGGCTGGCTTCTCCGAGGCGACGAGAGCCCCGGGACCCTACGGCTCCCACCGGCCTCCCCAGCCCCCACCCCCAGGCTTGGACAGCGATAGCCTGAAGAGCGAGAAGGACGAGATTTATGGGTGAGTGGAGACCAGGCTGAGGGTCCCACGCAGTCTCAGGCTGCGGTCCTCTGGCTTTTTCTGTCTCTCTCTGTGTCTGCCTTTATCTTCCCACCTGTGTTTCTTTGTCTCTCTGTCTCTTCAGGTCTCTGTGTCTCCATGTCTCTGTCTCTCCCTATCTCTGCCTCTCCATGTCTCTGTGTCTCTCCCTGTCTCTGTCTCTCTGTCTCTCTCTCTCTCCTTATCTCTGTCTCTGGGTCTCTGTCTGTCCATGTCCTTTTCTCTCCATGTCTCTGTATCTCTGTCTCTGTGTCTCTGTCTCTCCATGTCTCTGTCTCCATCTCTTCTCTGGGGCCTCTTGTTCCCTTTTCAGTTTTCCAGCCCTCCCCCTCACTAACTTTCTCTTTTCCTATCTCCCCAGACACCCGCTCTTCCCCCTACTGGCCCTGGTCTTTGAGAAGTGTGAACTGGCCACATTCTCGCCCCGTGATGGGGCTGGGGCTGGGCTGGGCACACCCCCCGGCGGGGACGTCTGCTCATCGGATTCCTTCAACGAGGACATTGCCGCCTTCGCCAAGCAGGTGGGCACCCCCGCCCTCCATGTGCCAGGAGAGCCAGGGAGGAGGGGCAGGAGCCTGGACATGCCCACCCTGGCCTCTCTCTTCCCTCCCAGGTCCGCTCTGAGAGGCCCCTCTTCTCCGCCAACCCAGAGCTGGACAATCTGGTGAGAGCTGGGCCCTTCCCAGTGCCCCCTCCTCCACGGGTCTCCTGTCCTGCCCTCTGTAGCCCTGGGGCTGGGTGGGGGAGGAGGCCATCTGGTCCACCTTCTCCAACTTACCAGTTGCCATCAAGTCAGCTCTGATTCCTGGCGACCTCATGTGTGTCAGAGTAGAACTGTGCTCCATAGGGTTTTCAATGGCTGTGATCTTTTGAAAGTAGATCACCAGGCCTTTCTTCTGAGGCTTCTCTGGGTGGACCCCAAACCACCAACTTTTCGGTTAGCAGCTGAGTGTGTTAACCATTCGCACCACCCAGGGGCTCCTTCTCAAACTCTAGGCAGTGATCATAATTGCCCATTTGCAATGTGGTATAGCCTAGAGTTGGAGAACGTGGATCCTATGGCCTGAGTTTGAATCCCAGCTCTGCTACTTAACTACCTCTGTGAATCAGGGCAAGTAGCCTACCTCCCTGTGCCTCAAATTTCCTCATCTGTAAAGTGTCCTGTTCCTGTCGAGTCGATTCCGACTCATAGTGACCCTATAGGACAGAATAGAACTGCCCCATAGGGTTTCCAGGGAGTGCCTGGTGGATTCAAACTGCCGATCTTTTGGTTAGCAGCCGAGCTCTTAACCACTATGCCACCAGGGTTTCCACCTGTAAAGTGTAGTTAATAGTAATTTCTTACCTTTGTAGGACTGTTTTGAGGGTTTAATGAGTTAATGCAAGTAGAGTGCTCAGAACAGCACCTGGCACAGAATAGGGGCAATAAGTGTTACCTGTTCTACCAGTCAATGGGCTCAAACCTATCAAAGATGATGGAGATGGCACAGGACCAGACTGTGTTCCGTTCTGTTAGACGTAAGGTCACCATAAGTTGGAGGTGACTGCATAGCAACTAACAACAACAATGTTCTATCAGTCAGAACAGAGTCCATGAAAAAATTAGCACAGGGTCACAGCTACAAAAGTGTTGTAAGAGCCGAGAAGCCAAAGGGAGGTGAGGCAGCCTGGACATCAGCACAGCAGGAAGCCTCTGCTACCCACGAGAGAGCAAGAGAGAGAGTGGGGAGAGGAGGGAGGGAGAAATACTCTGGTTTCTCCCTTCTTTGCCCTCCAAGCTCCCTCCAAGGTTTCCTATTGGCCAAGTCCACTGGCAAAGGACTCTGGGAAATGTAGTTTTCAGCAGAAGGGCGGGAAATGGAGCTGAGCGCAAAAGGCCTCAGAATGTATTTATTATTGTACCACATCTTAGCTCACTCCTCTTGTGATGGACCCTTCTTCTGTCCTTACTCCTCTTGCATCTCTTTCATTGTCTCTGCCTCTCAATCTAATACTCTCTCTTTTCTTAATTCTGGTCTCTGTCTCTGTTGTCTATTCCTCTCTCTGCTCCTGTTACTTTGTCTTTTTCTCTCTTTCTGTTTTGTTCTGTCTCTGTCACTGTCTTTGTCTTCTGCTTTTGTCATTCTGTCTCACACTCTGTTTTCCTGTTTCTCCATCTCTCCTCTCTCTCTGTCCACCTCTGTCTCTTTCTGCCACCATTTTTAGATGATACAGGCCATTCAGGTTCTCCGGTTCCACCTGCTGGAGTTGGAGAAGGTGAGTGCTTCACACTTCCCCCCACACCCTCACCTTGTCCCCCAGTCCCTCTCTCTCTCGCCCCTCCTTCGGGCTCTCTCCCCCCCTGAAGTTAGAGCAGAATACCATCCTCATCCCTGTACACCCCAACCCTGTCCCCCGGGTGGCCCCCCAAGTGCCCCGTGCCCCCCCCACCAGGTGCACGACCTGTGCGACAACTTCTGTCACCGCTACATCACCTGCCTCAAGGGAAAGATGCCCATCGACCTGGTCATTGAAGATCGGGATGTTGGCTGCAGGGAGGACCTGGAGGACTACCCAGCTTCCTGCCCCAGCCTGCCAGACCAGGTGGGTCCAGATGGGATACAAGGTGTTCCCCTTCAATCACAGCCATGCTCAGACACAGCTAGGTATAGCACTAAGGCACACACATGCACCAAAGGACATGGCCTCAGACACGGTCACCATCAGATACAACCTGACCACAGGACACGCATACGCACACATCATTCACACCCCAACTATGCAACAGCTACACAGACATGGATATAGCTGGGGTACAGTGTGCATGTGCACACACACACACACCCAATAGCTACAGACACCACATCACCCATAGACTCAACGACAGCCATACAGTCCCAGATATAGCCACACAGGTGCACATACAGCTACATACAGCCGGACTATAAAATATACCACATACTTAAACACACACATTCTGGCCATGTAACAGCAGCATAGATCGCACAGCCAGATTCAGACACAGTTGTTATATGTCCATCAGTTTCCTATGGCTGCCGTAACAAAGTGCCACAAACTTAATGCCTTAAAACAGCAGAAATTTATTGCCTCAGAGTTCTGGGGACCAGAAGTCCAAAATTAAGGTGGTGGCAGGGCTGTGGTCTCTCTGAAGGCTCTAGCTTGCCTCTTCCCAGCTTCAGGTGGTTCCTGGCAATCCTTGGCGTTCCTTGGCTTGTAGATTTATCACTTCAGTCTCTGCCTCCATGTTTACATGGCCATCTTCCTCCTGTTTCTGTGCCTCTTCTCCTCCTTTTGTAACGACACCACGCAGATAGGGTTAGGACCCAGCCTATTCCAGTATAATCTCATGTTAACTGATAACATCTTTCAACACCCGATTTCCAAACAAGGTGACGTTTGCAGGCGCCAGGGGTTAGGATCTCAGCATATCTTTTAGGGGGGCACAATTCAATCCATAACATACAGTATGTGTGTATATGCAGGACACAAACACACACCCCAGGTACACAACAGCCACACAGTTGAAGATAGAGCCAAACAGCCCCAGATACTGCCACACATACTCAGGTACAGCCATACTTAGACCAAGACTGGTTACAATGCACACATGCACACACACACACACACACACACACACACACACACACACACACCCCTGACTACATAGCAGTCTCGAAAACCTAGATACAGCCACACAGATTCAGCCATAAGATGCAATATTAGCCATGCTCAGACACAGCCAGATAAAAGCGACGTACTCTTATATCCCAACCACAGAACAGCCACACAATTTCAAATACAGCCACAAAGACTTGGTTACACCCACAGGGTTCCAAATACAGCCCGACAGAGACAAGAACAGCTACACAGACTCAGGTACAGTTATGTTCTAATACAGATGGATGATACTATGCAACACACATATACACACACACATCTCAGTCACACAACAGTCATAAAGATACAGCCATTCTCAGACACAGCTGCATGAGTGTATGCTCACGCACACACACACACATGCACGCACGCACATGCATACACTACAAATAGATAACATCCACACAAATGAAGACAGAGGCACATAGTCCCAGATGCCCCCAAAAAAAACCCCATTGCCGTCAAGTTGATTCCGACTTATAGCGACCCTATAGGACAGAGTAGAACTGCTCCATAAGGTTTCCAGTTAGCAGCTGGTGGATTCAAACCTTTTGATTAGCAGCCATAGCACGCGATAGCTCTTAACCACTGTGTCACCAGGGCCCCAAAATATACAGCCGGGAAGACAAAAATACCACCACACAGCCACAGCTACAGCTGCATGAACTTAGTTACAGCCCCACAGGTTGGAAACAGCCCTGCAGAGGTAGATACAGCTGCTCTGACTCAGATCTAGCCACAAAGAGTCGGTTACAACCACATTAACATATAGTCAGACCACAGTCATTACCAGGACCAGACTGGGTTGTTGAAAGAAGAGGGATGCTTGTCAAGAGCTGAGACCTTCCCACAGTCAACCTACAGTGATCACGGGGACAAATATCACAACCTCACCCTTACCCCATTCTGCCGGTGTCTCCCAGTGACTGAACCAAACCTGAAAGCCAAACAAGGCAGTCTTAACACAGCCATATGGGTGGGTCATAGGTCCCTGAGTGATGCAAATGTTTTGCGCTCCACTGCTAACCTAAGGGTTGGTGGTTCAAACCCACCCAGTGGTACCACGGAAGAAAGGCCTGGTGATCTGCTTCCATAAAGATCACAGCCAAGAAAACCCCATGGAGCAATTCTACTCTGTAATGCAGGGTGTTGCCATGAGTCAGAATCAACTAATCCGCAACAGGTTTGTTTTTTTTATGGGTTAGTCAACCTCCTGGGACACAGAGCAGGGGCAGAGCGTGAACCCAACACACGGTCAGGCTCCCAAAGTTTGTGCTGAAGTTTGGATAAAGAAAAAACAGCCCCAGCTTCTTATCTGCACTTTGGGGATTCCACAGCTTCTGAAATTGGAATGATTTTTTTTTTTCATAAGTTTAGTGCAAACTCATTTGGCAGCAAAACCTGACCTGAACTAATGTGAGGCTATTAATAGCCTTTATTTATTCCACTTAGTTAAATATTCATTTATTTGGCTGCAGAAATGTTAATGAGTTTGATGACGAGGTTATAGCCTCAGACCCTGCTGGGGAGTGTTATGATATACAAAGTGTATGCACTGATTAACTGTCTAAAAATGTGGAAAATGCTGAAACATGTCCAGCCCCCAGGATTTCAGATAAGGTGTCATGGAGCTGTATAGGGTCATCTTTATTGAATGATACTATGTGCCTTTATGTAAATTGGAGTCCCTGGGTGGTGCAAACAGTTATGCGCTCCTCTACTAACCAAAAGGCTAGCAGTTTGAATCCACCCAGCGGTGCCTCAGAAGAAAGGCATGGTGATCTACTTCCCAAAGATTAGCTGTTGAAAACCCTATGGAGCACAGTTCTATCCTGTCACACATGGGGTCTCCATGAGTCAGAACTGACTTGACCGCAACTGGTTTGGTTTTGGTTTTACGTAAATTAACTCATTTAATCCTTACCACACTCTCTAAGAAGGGGATTGTTGTTACCCTCCATTTTCCAGTTGAGGAAACTGAGGCACAGAGAAGTGACGTGACTTAGCCAAGGTCACAGAGCCAGGAAGCGGCAAGGATGGGCTTCACACCCAGGAGTCCCAGCTCCAGAGCCCATGGTCTTAACCACTATGCTATGTTATGCCCCAAGGCTTGGTGCTGACTTCCAACTCTTGTTTTCTAGAATAATACATGGATTCCAGACCATGAGGACAGTGGGTCTGTACATTTGGGTACCCCGGGTCCATCCAGTGGGGGCCTGGCCTCACAGAGTGCGGACAACTCCAGCGACCAAGGTGAGCAGCTTGAGAGACAGAGGAGAAACTTGAGAGTCAGTCTGAGGATTGAAGTTAGACTGGAAGTAGGACTTCCAGAGGGTCAAGGAAGGCTGGGATGTGGAGTGGTGTCTTAGTTAAGGGTTCTGGGCCCCTAGGGTCCACTGCTCCTCACTATCCACAAACACAACATGCCTGTCCCCCTCAGGAGATGGGCTGGATACAAGCGTGGCCTCTCCCAGCTCTGGGGGAGAGGACGAGGAGTTGGACCAGGAGCGGCGGCGGAACAAGAAGAGGGGTATCTTTCCCAAGGTGGCCACCAACATCATGAGAGCCTGGTTGTTCCAGCATCTCTCGGTGAGAGCCCTGGGATGTAGGGTGAGCATAGAGAGATAGAGAAGGATGGCCACACAGAGACTGAGGCCTGAGAGACAGAGATGGGAGACTGAGGTGGGAGGTGGTAATTCAGGGAGGATCTTGAGGAAATGAGGACTGATAAGATCAACCAGCAGTGAGTGCTTCCTGTATGCCAGGGGCTCTTAGAGTGTTTTTATTATTTTATTTTTATTTTTGGTGAAGATATAAACAGCAAAACATAATACACCAGCTCAACAATTTCTACACGAATAATTCACTGACATTGGTTACATTCTTCAAGTTGTGCCACCTTTCTCAATATCCTTTTCCAAATTGTTTCACCATCATTGACACAAACTCACTGCCCCCTAAGCTTCTCATCTAACCTTTCGAGTTGCTGATGTCAATTTGATCTCACATAGGTAATTCTTTAGAAAAGCACAATGCTCGAAGGAGACGAAATTTATTAATTAAAATAAACTTTTTTTTTTTTTTTTGGTACAAAGAAGACTTCAGGGGATGGTTTTGGTTTAAGGTTTAAAGTTTAAAGATTATTTTGGGGCAATAGTTTCAGGGACACAGCCAGCCTCAATGACTCCAGAAAGTCTGGATTCCAAGAGAATTTGAAATTCTATTTTAGATTTTCCCCCCTCTGATCAGGATTCTTCTATAGAATCTTTGATCACAATGTTCAGTAATGGTAGCTGGCAGCATCTGTTTCTTCTGGTCTCATGGCAAAGGAGGCAGTTGTTCATGGAGGCAATTAGGCATGTATTCCAGTTCCTCCTCCAATTCCTGACCTTCCTTCTTCCTCTGCTGCTCCAAGTGAATAGAGACCAGTTGTTGTACCATCTGAGGTCACTCATAGCTGCTTAGGGTGTTTAATGCATTCAGTTCTCTCTATAATCTCCCCACCCATGCATCCATCTATTCATCCATCCATCAGTCATCCACCCATCCACCACCCATCCAAGCATACCCTGTGAGGGAGGGGCTATGAGTATCTCCTTTTTGCTTTGAGGAGACCGAGGCACAGAGAGGTTAGGGGGTTTGCCCAAGGTCACACAGCCAGAAGTGGGTTCAAACACAGCAGTGTGGCCTTAACCATTGCACCACACTCCCTCCGAGAGACTGAAAAATACAGACAGAGAGAGCGACAGGGAGAGGCTGCAACACAGAGATACAGAGAGGTCTGGGGAGACTGAATCAGAGCAGGACAGACAAGGAGAGACGGAGTCACCGAGGGGCAGAGACTGAGAGAAAAACAGAAGTTCAGAGGCAGGGAGGGAACCACAGAGAAAGACAGAAACACGGAGAGATACAGGGAGAGGGTGGAACACAGAGACACAGAGAGATAGAGACACAGAGAGACAGAGACACACACACACAGAGACAGACACAGAGATTCAGGGAGAGGATGAAACAGACACAGAGAGAGCGAGACAGATACAGGGAGAGGCTGAAACACAGAGACAAGAGACAGCAAAACAGAGAGAGACACACAGAGAGACAGAGGGAGGGAGAAAGAAACAGACGCAGGGAGAAATGAAGTCGTAGAGCCACAGAGAAAGAAAGAAACAGGGCAGGGAGGGGCTGAAACCAAGAGAAAGAGACACAGACGGAGACAGAGAGACAGAAAGAGGGAGACAGAGACACCTAGAGAAAGAGGGGGGAGAGAAAGGGGCAAGGAGGGAAGGAGGAAGAAGCAGACACAGGGAGAGATTAAGTGAGAGAGAGGAACAGGAACGGGGAGAGGGGCGCACACAGAGACCTTGATGGAGAGAGCCAGAGAGGGCTGGGCCCGGAAGAGGGCCGGCCGGGGCTCCGCTTCCCTTCCCTGCGCTGCGCCTCGGGTGGAACCCGCCCCCCAGCGAGCTCCCTAACGAGGGCCTGCAATTAGCCTCTAATTGCTGGAAGAGGCGGGGCGCCACGGGTGTAATTGCCGGAGCTGTCTAGCAGTGCTTGGCCTCCGCTGGGCCCCTGGGAGCACAGAGGAGCTCCACTGCGCTGGCTCCCCGGTCCTGCCACAGCACAGAGCTGCAGTCCCCAGGGGCCTGGCAGGCCTTGGGGACCAGACGGCGGGCGGGCAGACAGGATGACTCTTGCTGGTGGCCGCAGCACCCCTACCCCTCGGAGGAGCAGAAGAAACAGTTGGCACAAGACACAGGGCTCACTATCCTGCAGGTCAACAACTGGTGAGTGACCAGAAAGGAGACCTGGGAGGGTGGAGCCGCCCGCCATGGGAGGCCGGGCGCTGTCCGTGGTGCTGAAGGTGGCCCCGCAGCCTCTTGGAGCCTCCCCTTCCCCCATCCTCTCTTCCCAGCTCTCTCTGTCTCTACGTGTGCTCTTCTCTGCTCCTGTCCCACTCTCTTTACACCCCCTCCATCTCCATGTTGCCCACCCAGGTTCATTAACGCCCGGAGACGGATTGTACAGCCAATGATTGATCAATCCAACCGCACAGGTAAAGGGAGAAGGTGGGGAGGGAAGGCCCGGAGCTCCCCGGGGAGTGTCAAAGCCAGGACCCAGGCATCCTGGGGCTCAGTCTGCACCCCTCATTCCCCTCCACAGGGCAGGGTGCAGCCTTCAGCCCAGAAGGCCAGCCTGTGGGGGGCTACACAGAGACTCAGCCACATATGACCAGCAGGCTGTCAGGTAAGGCCCTGCCGCCTAGGATAAGCCACACCCCTGGCATGCCAGGCCCCTCCTCTAAATCAGGCTGTTCCACCCTCTGAGATTAAGTTCATGAATAATGCAGTATATTCATTTGCATAACAGTGGAGTGGAAGATGCAAATACAGATTCCCTGGTCTCCACCTTTTCCTTGCATAGTTCACATCTTCAGGCTCCAACCACCACATTCAAAGGCTCCTCCCTTCCTTAAAGGATCACTATGAGGCACTGGTGGTTCAGTGGTAGAATTCTCACCTTTTTGGGAGCCCCAGGTTTGATTCCTGGTCAATGCACCTCATGCACAGGTACCACCCATCTGTCAGTGGAGGCTTGTGTGTTGCTGTGATGCTGAACAGGTTTCAGTGGAGCTTCCAGACTTAAATGGACTAAGCCAGTGAAAACCCTATGGATCACAACAGTCTGAACCACAACCGATCATGGGGATGGCAGACAGGATGGCAGACAGGCAACCTTTTATTCCGTTGTGCTGGGATCACCATGAGTTGGGCCAACTTAACAGCGGCTGACAACAACAACCCCCTTGAAAGATGCCTCAGTGTGTCATGATAGAAGGTCACCTGGTGAAAGAAGGGGCAGGAGGGACTTAGAAGCATATGGGGGTGTCTGGTGAAGACCCACTACTCCTTTTATGGATGAACATAATTTTGTTTTCCAGGATCGATGGGAATAAGTTTGAACTTAGAAGGAGAGTGGCATTATCTATAGAGGCTGGATTCAGGAAATGTGTGAGTGTCCAAGGTCTGGGGGAAAAGGGTTGAGGGTTATGGCAACTTTCAAACCTTCCAAAGGTCTCCACATTCTGGTAGTGGGCCCATCTTGGGGAAGACAGGACAGGATCCACCAAGCCTTGGTGGGAAGATCATCCATCCGTCCATCCATCCATCCACCCACTCATCCACCCACTCACCCACCCAACCATCCATCCATCCATCCACTCACTCAGATATTTATCCATCTGTCATCCACTCACCCATGCTCCTACCTCTACACTAATCCATCCACCCACTACACATCCATTTATCCATCCACCTACCCACTCATACATCCACCCATTTATCTGTGCATTCACCCACCTACCTACCCACCCAAACCACCATCCATCCATTCTCAAAGCATGCATTAACCCTGGCTCCATTCCAGGGCCTGACATGCATCAGGGAGGGTCCTACTCTTGAGAAGCTTCTAGTCTTGTGGAGAAAGAGCCATCAGAAACCAGTGCAACAGCTGAAACAATAAAATGTAGCTTACCCCGAGTAGCGAGTCACCAGCTTGCTGTGGGCCATCAGGGAAGACTTCCTGAAGGAAGTGACCTCTAAGTAGGGGCATTGAAGGATGAATAGGAGCCTGTCAGACAGAAGTGGGGGACCAGGTAGTGGGGTGTATTCTTCTCTTCTAGGTTTTGAGACTTTCCTCTGGCCTGGTATTGTGGCTGTACTTTCTAGAGCATCTGCCCATTTGGTTGTCACAACAACCCGAGAGAGAGAGACTATTATTATTTTCATTTTGCAGACGAGAAAACTGAGGCTCAGAAAGAAGAGGTCACTTGCGCAGGTTCACACAGCTCAGAAATTCAGAGGGAACAGCACGTGCAAAGGCCCAGGGCTGAGAGGCAGCCTGGAGTTTCTAAAGCACAGATCTTGACGCCCCCTCAGTGAAAACTTGTGGCTACCTAGTGCCCTCTGGACAAAGTCCAAACTCCTTAGTTTAGCATCTCTATTCATTCAACACACATTCTCTGAGCCCTTCAGTGCCTTGCCCTGTGCTGGGCAGTGCTGTGGACCCAGCAGTGACCAAGACAACCCAGGTCTGCCCTCATGGGGCTCATAGTGCAGTGGAGAAGACAGACCCATCTCCAGACAGTGATGACCCAGAATGGGCAGGGCTGGGGTTGGGGGACCCCAGAGGGGGTGTCTAACTCAGCAGAGTCAGGGAGGCCTTCCTGGAGGAGGGGGCATCTGACCTAGACTGGAAGAGAGGACTTTGTAGCTGAGACCAGGAGAGTGGGCAGATAGAGGTAGAAGAAGAATTTCCAGTAGAGGGAACAGCATATGCAAATGCCCAGAGTACTTAGAAATCGCATGTCTATGAGACATACCCTGACCACACACATATAAGGGAGGGAGGACTTGGGTAGGGCTGAGGCAGGCTGGGTGGGGTGGGTGAGTGAAAGGCCAGGGCGACAGGGGAGTGGAAATGGGCAGAGCTTAGTGATGGAGGAGGGTGCTGGACGTTTGGCTTGGGAAGAAGAGGGGTTCGTCCAGGCGTGGTGGCAAATGAGGGACTCTCCACAGTGACCAATAGCTGTGACTGGCGTGGCCTGGTCTGAGTGCCAGTTAACCACTGGGGACAGGAGCTACAAGGCAGTGGGAGCTTCCCAGCCTACTCTCTCGGCTCCCCAGTGGCTGTCTTTCCTCACCCCCATTTCTCTCTTCCCTTTCCTGTCTCTCCCTCCCCCTCTCTCTTTGTCCTTGTCTTTCTCTCTCTGTCTGCATGCCTCAGTTTTTCTTTCTACATCTTCATTTCTGATATTCTCCCTCTCTTTAAATTTTATTGTGGTAAAGTATATATAAGGAGCCCTGGTGGCACAATGGTTAAACACTCGGCTGCTAACCAAAAGGCTGGTGGTTCAAACCCACCAGCGGCTCTGCTGGAGAAAAGACCTGATGATCTGTTCCCATAAAAATTACAGCCTAGAAAACGCTTTGGGGCAGTTCTACTCTGTCATATAGGGTCGCTCTGAGCCAGAATCAACTCAACGGCACCCAACAACAACAACAAAGTATATGTAACATAAAATTGGCCATTTTAGGGCACTGAGGTTATGTTAACAGTGGTGGAATCATTTGGAAAAGGAGGGTGAGAATGGTTGTACAACTTGAAGAATGTAATCAATGTCACTGAATTGTACATATAGAAATTGCTGAGATGGCGTATGCATTGTTATGTATATTTTCACCACGATAAAAAATTTTTAATTTGCCATTTTAACCATACAACTCAGTGGCATTAATTATATTCACCATATTGTATGACCACAAGCACCATCTACTTCCAAAACTTTTTCATCCCCCTGAACAGAAACCCTGTACCCACTAAGCAGTACCTCCCCACTCTCCCTCCTCCCAGCCCCTGGTGATCTCCAATCTCATTCTCTCAGAATCTCTCTTCTGTCTCTTTCTTTCACTCGCCTTGTCTTTCTCTGTCTCTTTCTTCATCTGTCTGTCTTGCTCCCTCGCCCATTTCTATTCTGATTCTGTCTCCCTCTTCCTCTGTTACTCTACGTCTCTCTGACTCTCTCGTATTCTCTCTGTTCCTTCCTCTCCTTCTCTCTCTTTCTCTCCCTCTCTGGTTGCCTCTCTCTCCCTCTGTGCCTCTCTCTGTCTCTCTGTCTCTCTCCCTCTGTGGCTGTCTGTCTCTCCCTATCTGTCTCTCAGTCTCTCAGTTTGTCCCATCCCCTTTGTCTCTCTCTCTTCCTCTGTGGCTCTCTGACAATCCCACTCCTTTCTCTCTCCCTGTCTTTCCCCTCAGTTGCTCTGCCCGCATCGCTCTCACTTTGGGGCTGTTGGGGACTTCTCAGAGGGGCTGCTTTGGGGTGGACCCCCTCCCCACCTTCTGATTCGGCCTCTCCTCCCCTCTCCACAGACCCCAGCCTCTGGACTGTGACTCCCAGGCTCACACTTGATCCCAGTTCCCACCTGGTTCTCTGGCTTCAGGACCCCACCTCCCAAGGCCCCCCCACGCAACGCCTACCTCCCTGGGGCCCCACTGGGACATGGGGGCCTGAATGCTCCTCTGAGGGTCTCTCAAGGACAAAGTTAGGGCCTCCAGGCTGTGAGCCCTGCTTCTGCCCTCACCTCTGCCGGCTGGAGCTGAGATCCTGGGCCTGGGTCTTCAGAAGATGGTGGCTGGAAGCCCCACCTCCAGGACAGAGAAGGGGTTGGGGTGGGGCTGGGCTGTCAAGGAAGGAGGGCCAGGATCCGACATTTTGGGGAAGGTTCCCTTCACCCTCCCAACCATTCCCCTTCTCTCTCCTTACCTCCCTTCACTGACGTCTTCTACTTTTTTTTTCTAACAATAAAGTCTTAAAAACAAAAAGCCACCAGTCTGAGTCCTTGTGTTTCTTCCCAGATTTCAAATTCTCATCAGTCAACTGGAAGTTGATGAATCGCTAATGATAATCATACTGGAGAGTTCTTACCCCGCTCGCCCCTTGGGCACTCTTGTTTTATCAGTTAGCTACTGCTGTGTAACAAGCCGCCCCAATTTTCAGTGGCTTAAAACCACAGTGGTGTCTTTAGCTCCTTGTTCTGTGGGTTGGTATTTTGTTCCAAATCAGGGTATCAGCCATGCTAATTCCTTATGGGGGCTCTGAGGGAGACTCTGTTCCATGCCTCTCTCCTAGTTTCTGGTGGCTCCCAGCAACCCTTGGCATTCCTTGGCTTGTAGCTGCATCTGCCTCCATCATCACATAGCCATCTTCATCTGCATCTGTGTCTATTCTCTTTTATAAGGACACCACTCAGATTGGATTAGGATCCACTCCTGCTCCATAGAATTCTTGCCTTCCATGCAGGAGACCCAAGTTCAATTCCCAGCCAGCACACCTCATGCACAGCCACCGTTCGCCTGTCAGTGGAGGCTTGTGTGTTGCTATGATGCTGAACAGGTTTCAGCAGAGCTTCCAGACACAGACAGACTAGGAAGAAAGGCCTGGAAATCTACTTTCAAAAAATCAACCACTGAAAACACTATGGACCTCATGTTAACTGGTAACATCTTCAAAGACCCTGTTTCCAAACAAGTCACGTCCACAGGTACAGGAGTTAGGACTTGAACATATCTTTTGGGGGGATGCAATTCAACCCATAACAGCCTGTGATGACAGAGGTGAGGGGGCAGTGTCATGGATTGAATTGTGTCTCCCAAAAATGTGTGTCAACTTGGCTAGGCCATGATTCCCAGCATTATGTGATCATCTACCATTTTGTCATCTGATGTGATTTTCCTATGCATTGTAAATCCTCCCTCTATGACTTTAATGAGGCAGGATTAGTGGCAGTTACGTTAATGAAGTAGGACTCAATCTACAAGATTAGGTTGTGTCTTAAGTCAATCTCTTTTGAGATATAAAAGAGAGAAGCGAGCAGAGAGACAGGGGGACCTCATACCAACAAGAAACAAGAGCCAGAATAGTGCATCCTTTGGACCTGGGGTCCCTGTGTTGAGAAGTTTCTTAACCAGGGGAAGATTGATGACAAGGACCTTCCCCCAGAGCCGACAGAGAGAGAAAGCCTTCCCCTGGAGCTGACATCCTGAATTTGGACTTCTAGCCTAGCAGACTGTGAGAGAATAAACTTCTGTTCGTTGAAGGCATCCACTTGCGGTATTTCTGCTGTAGCAGCACTAGATGACTAATACCGGCACATTCTCACCCTCGAGGAGACCCAATTTCTAAAACTCTGTGAGATTTTTGTCCACACACAATTCGTCCAGTCAGTATTTCCACCACCTCCAAGGTGCCAGGTCCTCCCGGGTGAGCTACTCAGACTCACAGAAGCCACAGCCCCACACAAGGCAGACACTGGTCAAACATCCCTCATCTGAACCCCAGATGCTGCAGACTCCAGGGTCTGATGACTCTTGCTAGTCTTCTCCCAAGACACAATGAAGCTCAATGCGGGGTCTGAGTTGCTTCGATTTGGACA